TTTTTTTTTTTGATGAAGTTTAGCTGAAGGTAATAGATTGTGAGAACCGTGGATCTGGTGGGGAGGGTGTGAGGCGCAGGTGAGCGTGCACGGTGAGAAGTGCCGTGGTCCCAAGGGGTTACCGCTAAACCCCCGCGTGACGTGTCTGCAGCCTGGTGCTGCCGCTCGCCGCGATGCACCAAAGCGCTCGGCTCTCCTGAGGCGGGTGGGAAGGGGCAGCGAGCGTGGCCGTGGCCCGTAGGAACGCTGTGACGGATGATCTCCCTTCTCTCCGCAGACACTACCCGAAGCAGTCCTTCACCATGGTGGCAGACACTCCTGAGAACCTGCGTCTAAAGCAGCAGAGCGAGCTTCAGAGCCAGGTGAGCGCGCGGGTCGCTCCTCACCCGGGGCTGCCGTACGTTGTCCCGTCACCCTACGTTCTCCCGTGCTCTGGGGCTTTCCTGCGTCCTCCATGGAGGAGGGAGAGGTGGGTTTGGGGTTGGATCCCTCCTCTCAGGTCTCACCCATCTCAGCTGTCCGCTGTTCCCTTCATCCTGGCTGCTGGGACCTCCCTGGGGGTGGAAGGGTCCAGCAGGCAGTCTGCCTCTCCCAGTCCACCTCTTGCACCAGTTTACCTTTTCCCAGCTGACATCCAGCCGCACAATCAGGTGAAACAGCAAATGGCTTCATCTGGACAGGCGTCGACTCTCTAGGCGAGTATTTCAGGTAAACCCAAGTCTTGTAGGGCTTGAAAGCTCTGGCAAGCAGAAATAAACAGATAGAAAGGATAACGACTGGCACAGATAAGGATTTCTTTCTCTAGTGGGAAGAGCAGAGCCTGTTTGAGAAGGGTGTTGTCCAGACACGTCCCATTTTATACCCTGAAGGCGTCCCTGGATCAGCAAAAGTCCCCAGCCTTGACGCACGGCCGTGGGCTGGGTTCTCGCGCCGATAACTCCTGATGCTGCGGTGGGACCTGGTCCCTTGGGTGGGCTGAGGAGCAATCCCTGGTTTCCTTCTCTTACTCCAAAACACTGAGAAAAGAAACGTGAGCCACGAGTTTTTGTGGAGAAACAGCTGGAAGGGCAAGGTTAGCTCAGAAACGGGCTGCTGCGGTGGGCGACCCTTCTTCGGGGGACTTTGCTGTGGGGCCGTGTTGAAGTGTCTCGAGGCGATGTCCTGAACCGTCGCCGCGAGCTTCGATGTCGCAGAACTGCAGGCGTGTGCTCAGAGCACGCCGCGCTGGAAGAAAACGCATCCAGCGGCAATTTTGGCTTGAGTCAGCGTCTCGCAGGAGAACACAGGATGTGGCAACCGTTCTGGGAATCTATTGAATTTCTCTTTTTCTTTGAAAAAGGACAAAAAGGCTGCCCAGAGTGTTGTCAGCAAGGCACGCTAGCTCGGCTCAGCGTTTTAATGGTGTTGGTCTGGGCGGAGGGAGGACGGCTCGGGATTTGCCGTAGTATTTTCAGGGTGAACAGTCATTTTTTGAGATGAGCGCGCTCCTCTCCCTGCCGCGCTGCGAAGGATGCGGTGACCTTCCTTCCTTCTCTTCCCATTAGCCTGAGAGTGCCAGGAGCTGAAAAGCAGATTGCCTGGGAATGCATCCCGCCGGAGGAGGAGGAGGAGGAGGAAGCTCAGGCCCTCACCTGTTAGCAGATAGAGCTGGTGCTGCCCATGAGTTTTGAAACCTCGCCTTTTGTAAGGTCTCTTCCTCAGAGCGAGTTGCTCAACAGCTCCCTGGCTTGCACAAGCGCAGCTTGGCTCAAGCTTAGAGCTAGAGCTCAGCCTGGGGCTGGCTTTGTGTTTCACAGAGCGGTTAAGGGGACACAGTTGCTTTTCCATGGTAACAATCGAGATAATGCTGTACCGAGTGGTCTGGAGTCTCCAGCGCTGGTTTTACAATGAATTCACACTCTTCATTAGCTGTTGCTTATTAAAGGAGACCCTGGGGAGGGAGCGTGCTCCGCTGCCAGGGTTTTTCTGTAGCTGCTTGGGACTTTCAGCTCCTCGTGGTGTGCGGGAGGTGGCTGGAGGCAACGCCAGCTGCCTTGCAGGGGAGGGGGTGTCTCCGTTCTTTGGAGCCTGCACCCCCAGAAGTTGGTCACTACAACTCGAACGCCAGCGGGACGTTCCAGCCCCTGGGAGAGAAGCAGCCGTGCCCAGCTCTCGGTGGTCTCCTGGACCTTGGGGGCTGTAAGAGCCTTCTGCGCGCTCTCGGTTGCACGGCAGCAGAAGCGGGCAGGGTCTGCCAGGAGCCAGCACCCCACTTTTTCAGTGCAAGGCGGGGAGAAGAGGCTGCTGTGGGGGTGCTGGTAGAGCTGCCGTGGAGAGGGAGCGGGAGGGGGGTGGCGTGGCTGAACCAGGTAGAAACTGCCAGGCTGAAGCGCCCGGAGCCCTGGGGTGGATAGATCCTAAACATGCTTCAGATAAGATCTTAATTCCTCTATGCCTTTGTTCTGCCTACAAAGGGAGTCTCCTATTTTCCAAGCACCAAACATTTGTGTTTCTTGAAGCACTCTAGCTATAACACTAGCAGCCGCTCTGGCTTATTGACAATCCCATCGTACTAATTGCAGGAGCTGAGCAAACCCCTGGGGAAGGGAATAGGTCGCTTCAGCCCTTCCAGAGCAGGCAGAAGGGGTCACAGTCTTGCAAATGAACTGGAGCTGTTAGCCGAGGAAGGCTTGTGGCGAAGGGCTTGCTGGCTCCGCTTTGCAGTGATGACAGCCTGGTAGAAGAGCTTCTGCGCTACGCTTTGCCAGTTTGGGTGTCCTCCCCCAAAAAGCGCATCCTGGCTAACGCTGCTGGGACAGGCAGAGCTCTGCACCTGGGTCAAGTAGTAAAATGGAGTAAGATCGGGGTTATGTGAGCAGTGGTATCTTGCCTTCAAGCTTGCGTTTGCCAGCCAAACTCAACAGTGAATGAGCCTTTGGTCCGCGGTGCGAGTTTCCCCGAGCGCCTGTCCCTCTGGACAAGCTGTGGCTGGGAGCTGCAGTAGGAGAAGGGAAACCGCTGGGTCTGCGTCGTCTGCGAGGGATTTCTAACTGGTGGAGGGTCATTCCCCGGTGATGGGGGTGATGCTCCCCAGCAGTTTTGCCCGTTCCTCTGGAGCAGAGATCCTGTGGGGCTGGAGAGCCGCTGTCCTTGTAGATGACCCTGAGGAGGCTGATCCCATATTTCCTCCCACCAAAAATACACTCCTTGTCCGCCCCGGTGTGACGAGAAAAGCCGGTGGCTGACCGGAGCCGTTGCTGGCAGCCGTGCCGTGCGTGGGGAGGTGGGGACGGGGCAGCTGCGTGTCGAGCTGGAGCAGTTTCGTGTCCCTGCTGATGCCGCCGCTATTTGTGTCTGCTGAGAAGGCGTCTTCTGTTCCGGTCACTGGTAGACGCTGAATAATGATGTCTTGTGCGGCTAAATGAGTCTCCAAAGTGACAGCTTTTACGCCTGCAGCCTTCTCTTACAGCCCACGTGCGGCAAGAAAATTGCAGGTTCCCGTCCTGTGGCTCTTCTTTCGGATTCCGAAAACGGGTGGTTTGGGACTCAGCCTTTCCTGCCGGAGGGTGGAGGCTCCCGTGGCGTGGG